GAGCCCATGAAGTCAATCTGGTCCATGAGGTCGTCAACCCTATTAGTCGGTGGTGGTAGTGGTGATGAGTGGTCCCACCGGGTGGTCCAGCGGTGCTCCTCTGGCGGTTGACAAGACTGGAGCATGTGCTCCTAGTACTCCATCATCCGGCAGCTGCAATCCCGCTCTCGCTCGATGAGAGCACCAATGACTCCCATCTAGGCCTCCATCCGGTTGAGGCGCTCGTCTATAACTGTCAGCCTGGACTGGTACTCGGCCTGGTGGGCCGAATACTGCTGGTAGAACTGGACCTGATGGTCCATGAGCTGCTAGTTCTAAAGTCTGAGCTGCTGGAACAGGAGCCCCATCTGCTGGAACTGCTTCGTGAAGAAATCCATCAACGGGCCAGAAACCATCGACGGACTAGAAGGACCGGAGGAGGACTCGCCTCTCTCTGATCTCCATGGTGGCTGAAGGTCCCCTGGTGGAGAGAGCGGGGGCTCCGGCTCATCAGCATCCATGGCCCTGCCATCATCATCATTCATCATTATCATCATCCTCTTCTCCGCCGGAGTAGTCGCCGGGGCATGGAGAGCCCATCCACCCAGGAGCTGGTGCCATCAGTGGTCAGGAGGAGTGCATTGTGAAGCACGTCCTGGCTGAGGGGGGTGGAGCCGCCCCGTGCAGAAGAATCTGTGAGACCCTCGAAGCCGACGTCGAAATGGCCCGCCAAGCGGGTGATCAGGGGACCACAGAAGAGGTGATTAGGTTTCCCGTGGCACCGAGAGAAGGTGGTGGCCACGAAAGAACCCAAGTGCAGCATGTGCTCCGGGTCCACCATCGAGTACATGGCGTAGAGCACCCACTTTAGGATCTTGTGCGACCCAGTGGCATTGGGCACGATTGAGCGTGTGATGAGCAGGTTCAGAATGTGCCACTGCGGCCTGAGGGTGCGGATGGATGTCTGGCCGACGTCGAAGTAGTCGTACCCATAGGCGCGTCTGGCTATCTGGCGGTAGAGCTCGTCTTGGTTTCAGCCTGTCGGGATCGGGATCTCGACCTCATGGCGCGAGAAAGGGTGGCACTCGATCCCCATGGGGTAGGCCAACCCGTCGATAGTCAGCTCCCGTGGGTGGCCACCCAGCCTGAAGGTAACTGTGTAGGAGTCCCGGGCTGCCCTAGGGCGGTACTGGAAAGTGGTGTAGAACTCCCACACCAGCTCGGTGTAGGTGGGCTCCTCGATAGTCAGCAACGTCCGCCAATCTCGGTGGCTGATGGCGGTGGAGAGCTCTTGTATGAAATGGAGCTGCTCGAATACTCCCCACTCCAGATGGTGGTGGCGCTCCAGTTTCCCACGGGTGACTTTGTGGAAATGGTCCGCGTAATCCCGGTGCAGGCGCAGGTCCTGCACGAACGGATGGTCGAGTGACATGTTCCTGCAAAATTAACAAACCAAAGATGGAGCCAAGAACAACTTGTCAGGTCCAACAGTATGGGTTCATCACTTCCCCCACACTTAAGGACCACCTAGGCTAACAGCTTAAGCATAACCGGTTGAATCACAAGCAACTCAACCACAATCAAGGCAAGAGCAAACACAACCAATTCAATCACACGGACAGCACACACACAATAGCCATGACCATTCATATGCAAGGAATCCCTCACCCTATCCTAATTCAATCATGCCAGGAAAACACAGTTCTCGGTCCTACAATCTACAGTTCGATTTTCCAGAAAGAGAATAGTTAACAAGAAACACACCTGGAAACTGAAGTGGAAATGTAGACGCGACGCAAAGAAATAGGTGAGGGACGCGAAAAGGAGCCAAAAATGGCCCGGGAGACTCGCCGGAAAATCGACCGGAAAGTCGTCGGAAAACCCGCCGGACGGTCGCCGTAAAGTGGCCGGTGACGGGGGTGACGACGGCCGGCGGAGGGTGGCGGAAGGGGCGCGGCCGGCGGCGACCAAGAGAGGAGAGAGGGCAGAGGATTTGAAAGGAAGAGAGGGGAAGTTTTTGAAAAAATGAGAGGGGAGAGAGAAACACGACCGAGGGTTTGCTTAAATAGCAAAAATCCTCGGTCGGGCCTCAAAAATACCTGGTCGGGTATTTTAAGGCCATGGCCGGGGGTTTTGGAAACGGCGCGTTTCATGTGCTGGAAATCCCCGGCCTTGAGCCAAAAATACCCGGTCGGGTATTTTTGGGTCAAGGTCGGGGGTTTCTGAAACGCCGCGTTCCAAGGTTGGGAAATCCCCGGCCTTGAGCCAAAAATACCCGGTCGGGGATTTGCACTTTTTCGCCCCGGAACGCAGAAGGGGTCCCGGTAATGAGCCAAAAATACCCGGTCGGGTATTTTGGCCCAGGACCGGATATTTTCCCTTCCGTCCAAAAAACTCAAACTCCCCCTACATGAAAACACTAAACCGAACTTCAACACAGACATGCAACTGACTCAACACGACACAAAAACACAGAAAAAGGAAAAAGGAAAAAAGAAATACAAACCGTGGTGGGGTTGCCTCCCCACAAGCGCTTCTTTACCATCTTTTAGCTGGACGCCCATGGCGGAACTAAGGGTCCGCGAGTTGCACTACCAACTCCGCAAATTCGACCTCGTCCCCCAAGTAAAGCTTGAGACGATGGCCATTTACTTTAAACGGTTTAGTATGCGGGTTGGCAATTTTAATCATGCCATACGGGAACACTTGTGTGACCGTGAACGGTCTAGACCACCGGGAATAGAGTTTTCTGGGAAATAGCTTCAGGCGAGAGTTATAAAGGAGAACTCGATCACCAACCTGGAACTCTTTCAGACCCCACAACCGTGCATCGTGCAGGCGCTTAGTGCGCTCCTTGTACAGATTGGTGTTCTCATAGGCGTGGTAACGCCATTCCTCCAGCTCCAGCATCTGCATTTTGCGCTCAACACCTGCAACACTAACATCCAAGTTGAGCAGCTTAAGGGCCCAAAAATCCTTGTGCTCTAGCTCCACGGGCAAATGACATGCCTTTCCACAGACAAGCCGGTACGGTTAAGTAACAATGGGTGTCTTGTAGGCAGTGCGGTATGCCCAGAGAGCATCATCGAGTTTGGTGGACCAATCCTTGCGGGACTGATCCACCGTCTTTTCCAGGATACGCTTGAGCTCCCGGTTCGTCAGCTCGGCCTGGCCACTTGTTTGAGGGTGATAGGGTGCCTCGATCGCTTATGATGGCTCTAGGTGTCCCGAACCGGGAGAGTAACTGCTTCATTAGTGGGCAAAGCTTGCGCCTCAGCCCACCTAGAGACGTAGTCAACAGCAACCAAGATGTAGGTATTGCCAAAGGATGGAGGAAAGGGGCCCATGACATAAAAAATTTCACAAGTTATAAACACATTCTGGGGCATCTCATCACGGGCAGAGATGTTACCTGAACTCTGGCATCGGTCGCACCTGCGTGCGAAGGCGTCTGCGTCCTTGAAGAGCGTGGGCAAGTTAGAGCCCGATTGTAGCACCTTCCTCGCTGTGCGGTTTCCTCCATCTCACTCTCCATAAAACAGTGACGGATGATCCCGCCGGCTCCAATCCTGAAGAGATGAGGGTTATCCCAAAAGTAATGCTTCAAGTCGGAGAAGAATTTCCTCTTGGTGTGAGTTGTCGTCCCCTTTGGCAGCTGCTGGCCAACCAGATAGTTCGCAAAATCGGAGTACCAAGGGGTGACACTCTCCACCAGGTACATCATCATCAGCCTCTCATCTGGGAAGGAGTCGTTGATCTCCTCCTCGAGGTTGTGACAAGTTCTTATTATTTAGCAGTGAAACTTTAGTGAAGGTCCAATCAAGCAAACCAGCAAAGCAAGTAAAAGGTTGTTTTCAAGATGAGAGAGGTCACCCGGATATGGTTCCCCCCTAGACTGCAGTTAAGCCGGATTGTAATTTACCAAGTTCAAGTTCAATGATAGTTATACTTCGGGAGTTTCTTAAATAGTCTGCAGCCGACTAAAGGTCTCCAGACCCTCTCAATCTGAGTCCCCAGCGGGCGACTAACCTCCACCGGAGTAAACAGACTGAGGCCCTAATGAATCAAACCTCCACTACCAAAGCAAATTCGGTAAAGAATAGTGAATTGACTCCTCGACTAAAGTCGTCAATCCACTACCTTCAATCAAGGGTGCTCTATCAACCTAGGCAGATATTCTCTTTCTAGGTTAAAGCAGAAACAACAAGAATTTGATCAGGATTCGTGCTATTCAACAAATCAAACCTCAATTGAACATAATCATACCACTGAATCTGTACTTGGGTTCATACAATCAGACCTAACATACAAATCTAGGGTTCTTCATATCTTGGTGAATAAGAAAGTTACTCCATAGAGAGAGATGCGAAATCTAGCTCAGATGCGGAAACCATACTATGAAGGATGAGAATCTGCTTCTAGCACTCAATCAGCTCTTCTCCAAGCTCAAGGGGACTTGCAGAATCAGGTTCGTCACTTTCTCTCTCTAGGAATCGCTTTTTCTCTCTAAAACTCGGAACCCCTTCTCATTTGCCCTTATTTTCCCTTAAGAGGCTATCTGTCGCGATCCCCGGTCTGAATACCCGGTTGGGTATTTTGGGTGGCGACCGGGTATCTTCAAAACGCACCATTGGGTATCTTCACGACTGGGCCTCCTTCTGCTTCTCAGACGCCCGAAACATAAATTCCCCGGTCTGCTCCAAATAATACCCGGCCGGGTATTTCTGCTATGGCCGGGTATTTTGCTCCTCCAGCACACTTCAACCCAAACGTGCTCCTTTCGACCCGAAACTCGTTTCCTCGCCTCGATGTCCACGCTAAGCCATGAAATATGACATAAATGTAACACCCCGAATTTTGTGTTTCGGTTCGACCATAATACTTGAACGGTGGGTTTATCGAGTATGTACGAAGAGTTGCAACCGGGATTAGGAATAATAATAATAATAACTATTATTACTATTATTATTATTATTATTAGTATTATATAAAAAAAAAGAAACCCTAAAAGCAATCGCCTGATAAACCTCTAAGCCTTCTTCTTACCCACTCCTTCTCGATGGATCCGATTGCTTCCTCGTTCTTCTCATCCACCTTTCTTTATGCTTCCTCGGAAGAGAGCTGGTGGAGGAGAAGTTGCAGTAGAAGGAGAAGGGAGACCTACATGTAACGCCACCGAATCGCTCATCAAAAAGCACTGGATCGAAACCGCTGCTGCGGCCACGGGATCTCCCGCAACCACTACCGCCGTCAACGTAAACAACAACAGCAGCAACTCCGGCAACACTAGCAGTAACAGCAACAGTGGCCCGTCGATCATGCCGCAAAGGAACACGGCGTCGTACAATTCTATGATTTGTTGTTACAGCAGATTCGGCTGCCCTGATGATGCTTGGCGCGTTTTAAAAGAGATGATGGCTTGTTGATTAAGGCCAAACCAATTCACTCTCGGGGTATGCTGTCGTGTGCTTCGATGGATCTCAGTCATGGGGTTAGATTGCAATCACTAGCGATGAAAAGCGGGCTGTTAGCTGCTGATGCTTTTGTGGGAACTTCTTTGTTGGGATTGGTTGGAAGGTATGGGTGCTTAGAAGAGGCATCACTGATTTTCAGGATATGCCCAAAAAGAGCTTAACGACATGGAATCCGATCAACTCTTGCTTTGCTAGTCACGGCTTGGTGGAAGATAGGATGTGTTTGTTTTGTGAACTCGTGAGAGCAGAAGAGGGTACTTTATCTGAAGGCTCTCTTTTGTTGGTGTTTTGTCTGGATTAGCACGTGATAAAGCTTTTGGATTTGGACAACAGGTGCATGGTTTAGATATAAAAATTGTGGTTTTGGCCGCCATGCTTTAAAGGTAATTCTTCGCCGCCATGCTTTAATGGATTGAAGTGAAATTAGTGATTATCATGGAAATCAATTGGGAGGGTGAATACGCATGTCAGGGACTTTTCACTAATACTCATATAAGATGAGATTGGTGATAATCAATAGATAGAGATCTGGGTAATAAGGAAGGTCACGTAATTGTAGGTGCATGGGAGGAGGTTTGCATAATAAGTAAAGCCCTTGGAATTGCAGAGGGAGCTTGGAAACACACATCAACATAGGAGGGGTGAAGCTAAGGTGATCGGCCTGGAATTGGTTGGTGATTGATTCGAATCAGGTGAGTGTAAAGGGGGTAAATTCTACGCCTTACGTATTCTTTTAAGTATTTTAGCGAATTGGTTATGTTTATGATTGATTATTTGTGCTTTGGTTGAGTTATAGTTTGAGGTGATTTTGTGCTATTTGATGTGATTTTGTTTGAGCTATACTTGAAGTAAATGTTTATTATTTACTTTGAAATTTTATGAGTATAAGTTATTGTTAAAGAGTAAAAAAAAAAACAAGTTCTTTTAAGGAAGTAATTCACCTTCAAGAAGGTGAAGTCGTTTTAAGTGTTTTTAGTCACTAGCGCCAGTCCGTTGCCATTTGAGATTTTCAGATAGAGCAGCAGTTATGCTCTTGAGATCTTTGAGACAGAGTAGCAGTTATGCTCTTGAGACTTTTAAGATGAGCAGCAGTTATGCTCTTGAGAATCGTGGTGAAGAGCCACCACGATAAGTTTAAGATGTTAGGGGGATGAATCGTTACGACTTCCCTAACTAAGTTTAAGTTTAAGCAAAGCCTGAATGGCTTCTCATACGTATGAGTTGGCAACCGGACTAGCTAGTGAGGGATCCCCATGTCAGTCAAGTATTTAAGTCAAGATTTGAGTTTTAAGAGAGGAGAGTAACTTCAACTCCCTCAAAGTTTAAGAGTTAAGATTTCAAGATTGGAAGTACAAACAACTTCCACTAGTTAAAGTTAAGTGTTTAAGTAAGGTACTCAAATATTAGAAGTATTAAAACGTAAGGGCGTAGACTGACCCCATCTCACTCACCAGTTTGAGGAGCTAGAGGAGCAATTAGTGAGCAGCGAGTTCGAGGGCAGCCAGCTAGAGGAGAGCAGTATAAGCCTCACGGAGGATGCTTAATCAAGGTTTTCAGTAGCAACAACTTCAGAGATTATTAGTTAATTACATTTATGATTATGAGTACAGATTGGAGATTATTTTGAGATCAGATTGAGATTTTACAGTTTGAGTTTAATTTGCCCACATGTTAGGGTTTTTCTTTGAACTTCAAGTGTGTTTTCAGTATTTTATTTATGAAAATTTTTCCCGCTGCAATTTAAGATTTGAGTATTTTATTTGTCAAGGGCATTATGGTAAAAGTAGTACCCGGCCGGGTTAGGGTGTTACAATAAACATACAACCTAGCGTGAAATCGGCTTAATACACAAGAATCAACACCTCAAACGGCTCAAGAATAGGGGTAAAAACATGTGCAATCAATGGTCTATCATGGATCGAGGCAGAATCCCTAGCCACTATCACTCAAGCGCAAGTAAGGAAGTTCACGAACATGAACCTTTTCACCCGGTTTTGGCTGCAGAGTCAATCGTGGCCAGTCATGGCAAGTAGTTTGATTGCAAGAAGTTCATCGAATTATGTGATGAGAATGGAGGCATTCTGCGCTTCTCATCCGTGGCATACCCCCAAGCCAATGGGCAGACGGAGGCAGCAAACAAGAGCATCCTGCATGGTTTCCACACGAAGTTTCTAGGCGCCAAAGGGCGATTGGTAGAGGAGCTCCAAGCCGTGTTATGGGCGCAAAAAACGACATATAAGGTGGCTATAGGGGAAACACCATTTGCCCTCACTTATTGCAGCAAGGCAGTCATATCGGTGGAAGTAAGCATTCCCACATTCGGGATGGTAGGATATGAAGCACAACACAAGGAGGAGGAGCGCTTGCATGACCTCGACATGCTAGTGGCCAAATATTACAACAAAAAGATGCGACCCCATCAAATACGAAAGGGAAGCCAGGTGTTGCGGCGCGACTTTCGCCTAAAGGGAAGTGAAGAAAAGCTCATGCAAAAGTGGAAGTGACCTTATCGCGTGCGGGGGGTGATAGGACCGGCCACATTCAAGCTGGAGCGCATGGGAGGTAAAGCCATCAAACGTACATGGAATTCTCAAAACATCAAGGTATACTATGGCAACGTGAGGGTGGAAACTTCAGAGTAAAGTGGTAAGGATCGTGAGGTCGGGCACGCACACTCGGGTTGAGGCTCGGCGATGGTCTGATGGGTGGGGAAATGAAAATACTACTACTGCAAGCGCACTATGTAACGCACATTAGATTATATTTTGTAAAGCGCTCGGAGTTTTGCAGCTAGCAAGTATGTGCCTAAGTAATCCTAAAGCGCCCTATACATAGCGCCCTTATGTGTGATGGAATGGAATGATGTTACTTACTAATGCGACCGCTCTTGTATTGCGCCCAGAGTTGCGATGTGTAAAGCGCCCACGATTTTTGCGCCCAACCACTAGTCTTAAAATGCGCACGCTTTTTCATTGCACCCGGTGCTAGATGGATAAAGCGCCCTCAGTATTTTTGCGCCCACTAGTCAACCTTTAAAGAGACCTAAGCATTTCGTGCCCATTGTAAAAAACGCATAGTCAAAAACACATACCCACACACTTACGCAATGGGAAAGTCATGACAAAATGTTTTCGTGCAATAACTTGGTCCGAAAAAGAAAGGGGCTAAAAATAAGACAAGATAAACCTAAGAATCCAACAGAATAAAAAGAAGTAACAGCGTCAATCCTCGATATCGACTTCCTTGTCATCGGCGTCTTCGTCATCCTCCGCATCGCTCTCACTGCGGGCAACTTTATCGCCTGCGCCCTGGCCGCTTTGCGCGTCCCCTTCATCCCCCTGCGCCTCATCTGCACCAGCGTTGGGTTTCGCTCCACGAGTTGACTGCTGGACCTCCATGGTGCCTATGATATGCTCCATAAGAGCTATCAAGTCAAACTCCCATTTCGGGTGATCCTCGCGGAACTTCTGTTGGATGATCTCCATCGTGTTGATCACAGTATCCGCTTGAGGATTCTTGCTGCTGGTGGAATTCTTGTGGTCTGCCAGGTCTTGTGACAATTTCACCTCGGACGTGCCCTTCTTCAGGTCGTGGAGGTAACGCCCCTTCGACTTTTTCATCTTCTTCTGTGCCTCCTCTAGGTCGTACACGGTCTGGTGGAGAAGCTATTATCCTCAAGGAGGGCATCGCGTTCCCGAGTCAGGTCGGCTTGATTCTATCAGAGCTACGTCTCATCTTCTGGTACTACGCCCTTTCAGCCGCAGTCTTCGCAAGCCATTCTTGCTCCACCTCCTCACGTACCCTCGTGCGCTAGGAGGCTGCCTGCTATGGTTAACTCCATCCGTTGCTTGTTGGCAGCATCCAAGTCCGACCGGAGGCATGCGGCCGACACGGAAGCCTCGGAGCCTTGTTGCTCTCTTCGCAACTTCCCTGACCGTGGCCTCGCAAAGGAGCATCATCTGAGGCGCATAGAAAAGATTTAGAAATATTGAGAACAAGATAAAAAGCAACAAATTAAAGGAGGGTACTTACTTGGGCAGTGAGTGTGGTCATGTCGCGCCAGGGCTTGGCGGACATCAATCCTTTGGGGTGTTCGACCACATCAAATTGGGACCGCGCCCATTGAACGGAGGCGCCCACCTCAGTCACTGCCTTCACGGGCATGCCAATATTAACCTTGGTAAGTGGACGCTTGGAGGCTGCAGATAGGGAGGAATCACTCTGCCCGTGTGTGCCCCAACTAGGGGCACGACAAAGCTGGGCGGAAGACCACCCTCGCTCAGTCTAGGAACCCTCCCCTTCTTCCCTGCTTGGGTTAGGGCGTCTCCTGCCCTCTTCTTGGAAGCTTTCGTAGGTGGCGAAGGAGGCATATCCACTTCCCTAGTCTCGAGGTGCGTCGTTGCTGAGGAAGGCATGGCAGGAGTGCGAGGGCGCTTTGCCTCTACTTGGCGCGAATTGGAACTTGCTACGCCGGTTTCACTGAGGTGAAATCGGTACCTGAGAGAAACAAAATGAACAGGTTAGAAAAAAGAGTAGGTGCGCATAACAACAGGCGCATAAGGCACAGGGGAACGACGCAAGCAGAACTCCAACAAATACCATCATTATAAAATTTAGCAAGAAGTCGGACGTATTCGTCATTGTCATCCAGGTCGAAGGGCTCCTCGGAGAGGCGCTTGGCCATGACCAACTCCTCCTTGCTCAAGGGAGCAGGCTTGTTGAAATAATGGGTCGTCCCCATGGACCACTCAGTCACTGTAGAGCGCCCACTCTCTAAGAAGGGCGTCTCGCGCGATAGACAAAAAAATATGAGTCAAACCACGTGCGCCCAATCTTCTGACAGCCGATGATGAACCCATTCCCTAGTTTCTTACTCTTGTAAAGGCTCAGGCAGTTCGAGCTCCTGGACATGGTGAAGAAATGGTTTAAAAGCTTGAAGGTGGGTGGTATGTCAAGTTGGTGGCACTTATGACGAAAAAGGATGGTGTACAAAATGATGACGGGGGAGAGGCGCCCAAGGGGGCACTGGCAGACATCGAGAACACCCTCAAGAACAGGGTCGATGGGGAAGCGTAAGCCAAAGCGCAGGAACTCTTGGTATATTCCTGTCCAGCCGCCTTCGCCGAAAACGTCATTCCGCGCCTTTGGGGTCGCATGCGCATACCTCCAAGACGCTGGTGTCTGGGCGGCTACCAGGAGTTTCTCCAACCGCACTCGCACCAGCTTGGAGGGGTGCTTAGGGTCAGCCTCTTCCAAGGTCATCCCCGCGACGTTCTCCGGCGCATGCCCTGTGGGCCACACTGACTCCCATGAGCGCAACGAATAG